CCACGGTAGTTCCAATATCTTGTGATTTCCACGAAATTGAAATCCAGTTTAGTTTAGGCATACACATGATATACGACTGCTTATCGCCTACTCTCTCATTCATTCGTGACTTTATATTTTACCCCAATGGCTCCTGGGAAAATTCCTAGTGCAAGTACTAAGCGTCATGCTATAATGCTAGATGATAAACTTACTATGATAAAATGCCATGAAAAAGGTGAAAAGGTTATATCAATTGTTCGATTTTTTGGCATGAGTCAGACAACTGTATTGATACTTGTTCACAGTAAGGATAAAATTTTGGCACATATCAAATTTGATGCCTCAGGGATGAAGAATACTGTTATCAATAAGAAAAGAGGAAAAATCTTTGAAGAGATGGGACAACTTTCTCTTTGGAGTGTTAAGTTGAATCATCAGTGTGCTGTTATTAGTCAAGAAATGATTCAAGCAAAAGCGTTGTCTTTGAGTATTTGAACAAAAAATACCCAGATGAGTAAGATGTAGAGTTTAAAGTGAGTGAAGGCTGGTTTATGAGATTTAAAGAATGAAGATCATTGAAGAAGACAAGTTTCTTCCTGAACAGATTTTTAATGCTGACAAAACTGGATTATATTAGAAGAAATTACCAGACTGTTCTTTCATTGTTAATGCTAAGCATAGAGCTATATCACTGATAAATTATTTTGTTCAGAATACTGTATGTACATATCATAAATACTGTAATATGCAATAGGGAGGGTTTATTTGCAGTTTATAGTGTGGTTATTTTGACTGGAAATCAATTAACGATGTACAGTGAGGTATACCTGTACTCAGTAATCTTAAAAATTTAGGAAAATATTCTCTGTAATCTAATGTTTTATTGAATTTTAGATACTTTGGCTTCAAAATTACTATTTTCTTATTTACTGATAATGCCATGTATGAACAACAGTATCTACAAAAATTGGCATATTTATACACATACAAAAAATATTCAAAATTCTTTTAAAAATATTAGTGTTTGATGAATTGTATTAAGCTCTTCAATTTATGATTAGTAAATAGTTTTCACTTAATAATAATATAATCTAAAAGGGTGAAATTAATACAGAATTTTAAAAGATTTAAAACTTAATAACTTCAAATTAAAATTTAAAAAAAATGAAAACAATTCTTGTAAAAATTCATTATTAATTGGAAAACATTTTTTCTTAAGACAGTAGTGCCCATAATATATTTAAAAAAGCAATTAAAAGCTTTTTTAATGAAATAATGTCTTAGTTATATTTTTTTTAATTTTATGATTCAGAGCAGATTTTTGGTAAATGGTATTTGTTTTACAAAAACAAATTGATGATTTAAATTCTTCAAGGAGTTCTGCTTTTAACTAATATAATTATTAATGGGGTGAAAATTTAATTTTCTCAAAATTTCAAGTAATTGAATGTTGAGGGGTTGTGTAGTAAATGTAAAAATAAAATTTTTACAAAGATTTTCTAAAAAAATTTCTAAAAAAATTTCATTCATTTGTGAATAAGTCCTAAAAGTTTAATAAAAATCCAACATTTATTTCATTTTTGCAAGAATTTCCAAATCAGCATGTTTTTTAACACAAAAACACTAAAATTTCCTATGCTAATCTTTTGCCCACTCTTTGGGTCCTGTCACTAGATCTTACTAACGCCTTTATCCACTGTGCCATGTGTCTTTGAGTATGAGTTCAATACCTGGTTAAAGCGATGGAGAACTTGGCGAGGGGAATTAACAGGAGATAACTGATAACTGACATCCATTAGACATGGCGCATGGAACTAGAACAGCCTACCCCAGCGAGCGAAATAAAGGGTTCAGTTTGACATTTCAACCACCTGAAGAAGGCCGGAGCATACAATGGTCGAAACGTTGTGATAAATATGGCAACAAAAATGAGAACAATAGTCTGAATAATGTAAAAGATACTTTGCCCTTTCTTCTTAATAATAACATAAAGGCTTTAATGCAAAAACTTTGATTTTATCAAGTTTGCAACATTTTTTCATCATGGTATGCACTTTTTACAGTGAATTAGTGGAGGTACCTAGTTAAAAGTGACAATTTAAGTTTCCAAATATTTTAAAGTTGAGTTGATTTGTATCATCTGAAATGATATTCACTTCATGACACAATTGTGTATCTAGATATCAGCTATCAAATAACTTCAATGATATGAATCAACAGAATTAATATTTTAAAAAATTCCTCCAGAGCAAAATATATCCCTTGCTTAATTTCATAATTTATCAGTCGAAATGTGCTTAATTAAAAAGAAGAAAAAAGAAAGAAGATTAAGAAAACTATTGTAGTTTTTAGTTTTGTAATTTGCTTGTTTTAAGGTAATAATCTTTAATCGTAAGCAAATAATACTGTCAGAAAAATTGTATAAATTCTGGTATTTCATAACTTTATTTTTTTTTTATTTTGAGGAAATACTTAATCTTATTTACAGTACAGTATAAAAAATTGCCTTCATATTAATCTGTTAAGTTAAACAAAACATGTCTCCATTTTCCACTTATTTTCTCATATCTGTGAAATGAATTTGCACTTATTTTATCAGATCACGTAATGTTTCTCCCCATTGGTCTTCCAATTATCAGTTCGTAAAGTGTATATTTTTTTGGCATTTCTCAACAGATCTACTTTAACTACTGCACATTACTGGACTTTTCTGAATTAGCAAATTTCATTTTTGAACTAGTTTTATGCTGAATGGGAAGAAGAAAAAAAACTGAATTATGAATTTATTTATAAGCTAATTATTATGTATGGCTTGAATTGTTCCTTTTTATGATGGTAATTTATGATACATCAAGTACAGACATGCTGATGGTATATAAGGTGGTAGAAATGAGAGTTGATGATTGATGTTAAGAAGACCTACTGACTATAAATATGTCAAAACTTGGTCCCATTTAGGAATTGACACAATGAATTGAAAAGAAAAATCATGTTTGTATCATCAATAGCAGAGCAGACAGTTTGAGGTCTCCTTAGAAAGGTAAAGACCTTGATAGTAGAAGTGATTGTTGATGGTTCTCTACTGATTTAGTGGCAAATCAGTTTCATCTCAGCTGAGTTTGAGGTGATGTTCAGCCAAGCATTCTTCACCATCAGCAGTTCTTCCTTCTCATTTAGATGGATTTTTTCGATTGCCAAGTCAGCATCATTTATCTGATTAATTGTCATCTGAAATCACATATTTCAAGTTCTTGGTGTCTGCTTTTTGCCAAATATCCTGTATGGCAAAAAAATATTTAAACATTTACAAAATCATTTAAACTTTCTTTTATAATTTTAAAAAACTTTTTTTTAACCATATCCAATTAAATACTGACTCTTTTCAACATCCTTGCAAATTAATTTAAAAAAAAAAGAACACTTAAAAAATAGCTCACAGCATTTTATAACCTAAAGTCTATAACTGAAGAACTCTTGGTTAAATGTTGGATAATTTTTTCAATCTTCATGTCATTACATTCATAACATTGTCTGCTTCATATACAATGCTAACTTAGAAGAATTTGAATTTTTAATCAGTCTGAAACTAAATGAATCCTGCTGATTCTCACCTATTGTTCTACTACCTATATCTACTTCACAACATGTGGCTTTCTGACTCACTACATCTCCAACAATAACCTGCTATCTACCAATGAGTGGCTTGAAAATAACTGACAATTCTAACTGTGATTCTGTTTATATAAGCCTATGATTGGAACTTTGTAACTTCTGGTCATATTTATCAAAATGTTAAGCGTCGTAGACAGTGGCTTGGTAAAGGGGAAGAACCCCAGCCACAGCCAAGAAGGGAACTTCATGGGCAAAAGGTTCTTCTTTCAATCTGGTGGGATCACCAAGGAATAATCCACTTTGAATTCTTACCACCTAATGCAACAATTAATGCTCAAATATACTGTCAGCAATTAGAGCGTTTGAACCAAGCTTTGAGGAAAAAGACTTGCTCTAGAGAATCGAAAAGAGGTGATGTTTCATCAGGACAATGCATGACCCCACACAGCAAGAATCACGTCACAAAAGATCGAAGAACTTGGTTGGGAGAAAATTCCTCATCCACCTTATTCTCCCGATCTTGCTCCTTCAGACTACCATTTGTTTCGTAGCTTACAGAATCATTTGGAAGAAACAGCTTTTGTAACATAGGAAGAGGTTAAAACTGACATTTGTGAGTTCTTCAAATCAAAGCCAAAAGAATTTTACAATAATGGAATTAGTAAGCTTGTTAGTAGATGGAAGGAAGTCATAGATAATCAGGGAAAATACATTGTCGATTGAATCTGTAATTAAATGTAATATTTGGTCACTTGTTTTCTTTATTCAAAATTTGGACAGAACTTAGGGGATGACCTGATAGATAAACAAAATTCAGCTTCATATTGGTGGTTGGTTTTCCTTCAATTACACTATAAGCATTTAAACCAATTTAATCATTATCACATCACACAGTTTAGTCTTTTCAAGAATATTTTCCAGTAGTGTTTAAATTTGTCTTGCCTATGAGAAATCTTTGATACTGCTTTGTTTGTCTTTTGCAAGTTCAGTTTGTGGCTGCCTACTTTCATACACGCAGGGGGTGCACGGGCACACACACACACACATACACATATAACTCAAGTGGATATTTCTCAAACAAATAAAAAACAATTGTTTTACAAACATTATTCTGTTTACTTTATTGTGCATCATTTGCAATGTTAATAATTATGTGCAAAGTACAAACAACTAAACTTTTAGCATCTAAACATGTATGTTGATTAAATAAAATACATTGTTATTATAATTACAGTCTCTCTATATTTCTTAGTGAAATTGTTCATATAATTTTCACCATTCTTTTTTTTTATACATTTCACTTCATTGATAGATTTTCAAAGTAATTATAATGTATCATCAAAAGTTTTGCAGTATAATCAATTACTAAAATCAATTTTAATTTGTAAAATAAATTTATTTAACAGAAATTGTTTCCCGGACAATTTGATCTCAGCAACTTTTTCCAAGGTAAGCTGATAAATAAGTTCAGTAAATATCAATAATTCCTTTAAAGTTGAAAATATATGCACTTTTTAAGGTATCAATAAATAAATATGAACTCTTTAAAATTACAAACAGAAAATAGAAGTATTGAAGCATATACTGATAATGTTTCTTTCTCACACTAAAATTTATGGAATTTTATTTATCTTGGTTACTTGCCATGGAAAATCTGATGATCTGCCCAGATAGTCAGGTCATCATGCAATACTTCATTCACTTTTTCTCAGAGAAATGTAATAAAAAAAAATCTGTCACTTTAAAACCCATTTAGTTGTTGTACAAAAATTATTCAAGCTTATTAGCATTTGCATACATGTGTACATGTGGATTTGAAAGCACACAAACATACAATTGTAAAATTTAGAAACTGTCAAGCCTGAATTAAAACTTAGTAATCATCAGTTAATTTTGATTAAAATATTAAAAGTTTTGTTCAGTTTGAAAATTGTAATTTTGAGTAAACTGAAAATAGCTAATAATTTGATCTTATTTTGATCAGAGATATCATTTTGATGTGCCACTTAAAGCATGCAAGGATTCTAAAGATGAAATAAAGCCAATTAGTCATACCTCTTATGGATGCAACCAGCCGTGAAATTTTGTGTAGTATTTCTGTTAATTGCAATTTTAGAAATTTGTTCTATACACAAGAGCTTTCATGTATTTTCAGCATCATTTCAATTATTCTCACTCTTAAGAATAATTGAGATGTTGTTTTCATTTTTTTGATTCTCAACTGATTTAAGACTGTGAATAACCAAACTACTTCTGATGATGATCTCATCTAAGGTCTATTCATCTTATTGATATTGCGAGATATGATAGCTGCCTCCAAATAAGCTAGGATTGATATCTTTTTTTTTTGCTTTCCAATAAATCCAATTCAACTTTTGTATTTATAAGTTAACTGAAATTCTTTTCGGATTTGATTGACAATAGTCATGATCATTGCATTTGTTAAATTCAAATGAAATACTTTGTCCACAAAATTGAATTTCATTGAAAAAAACTGTAGAAACAGGTTTCTTTACTAAACTTATTATTGAAGTTAATGACTGTACAGATCTGCTTGTATTTCTATTTCAGAAAACCACAAAAAAGAAATTTATAAAGGTAGAAAAAGAAAACAATTCTTTGCTTACCACTGAAAACAATATGGACAATATCACAACAAAAGGTGAGTCACGTAATTTCATGGCATTAAATATGCATAGGCACATGTGCATGCATACAGACACACACGCACAAAACCTTACATATATACAGATAAACTGAAGTGCAATAAAATTTGAATTTATTGCATAAAATGTATCTTCTCTTTTCTCTTGCATAACAATAATTATACAAGATGGCATGGAATCTGCAATGTCTAATTTTAGAATAGGCCCAGTCATAAGTGATGAGGGCAGTAAGTGAGAGTAAGTCAAAATAGAGATGGTTGAGTGAGAAGTGAAATTCTCAGTGGCTGAAGGGAAGATTTGGCCTATTTTGTTTGTGAAAGAAGACAGCACTATCAGCAAAGATATCCTAAGTATCACTTAAAACCCCACAGTATCAGGTGAATCCATCAAGAACCCAGTCTACAGAAAAGAAGGATTCATGTTTTCTTTTCTCACAGTGGCAATATCTTGAGATGGTTACCGTATTTTGATTTATAATTGATTGTTCGAAAGAAAGTTCTCTTGAGAGAGAAATGTTCAAGAATCAATGTAAGAACAAGTCTGCTGTTAGAATAGATAATACAAGAATACAATTGATCAGAAAGTGTGTTGTGTTAGAGAAATCAACAGAGTCCTGGTTGATTGAACTTGGCTGAGTCACAGATATATATATATATATATGTATTACAAAATTGAAATGTTGTAAGTAAAGTCATAGGTTTGTGTTGACAGGCGAAATTTGCTGAACTCTACTGGTGGCTTGTGAAAAAGTTGCCTCTTTTAAAGCTACAGAGAGGCTCCCAGTGAAACCACAGAAAAAGTTGATTTTGCACTAAAGGATGTGATTGGTTAAAATTTGACCAATTGCTAAATTTGTACTAAGAAAACAAGTAAGCTCAAAACCAAAAAATTTAAAGCAATGACTGCGATAGCTAAATTGTCATATAGAAAGACAGTATTGATTTATTAGCCAATCGCAGACGAATAAAATGTGAGTATGGAAAAAACATACTAGTCGCTACAACTACCCCCCCCCACACACACACAGTTGAAAAAAGTGATGAAGACATTTTTTTTAATATGTCACATATTGTTTGAATTTTGAATGCCAATGGACTCTCCTAACTTTCTTGGTAACTTGTCTATCAGGTGTTTCAGACATTTGCTATTAGAATAGATAACACAAGAATACAATTGATCAGAAAGTGTGTTGTGTTAGAGAGTCCTGGCTGATTAAACTTGGCTGAGTCACAGAGAGATATGTATATATGTATTACAAAATTCTATGTGTGTGTGTGTGTGTGTGCATTTGAAATGTTGTTTATTACTTGGTGGTGATGATGATGATTGGATTGGTTTAATATTCCACTCAATGTATGCTGGCCTGAGGCGATCAATTGAAACGTTCGATTGACCATTAGTGAGCTGAATAGTGTAGTACTTGTCATGTCGAGCAAGAACTCAAAATGGGCCTGAGTAGCTGGGTGTCAGTGGCTTCTTGACAGAATCTTGTCATACAAACACAAAATCACATTTATCTAAAGAGGAAGGAACATAAATATCTTTGGTTTGGAAATGAATGGGTGTAAATGCCAAGGTAGACATTCTACCCTGCAGGTATTGGACAAAGGTTGAGGAAGGTTGTAAGGCTGAATTGCCAAACAGAAATTGCCCTGGCAACACTAGTAGTTGGCCAAAAACAAGATCTGCAGGTGAACACTGCAATTCCTCTTTTAATTGAGAACCAGGTGAAAGCATGGCTAGAGGTAAATTTGTCCATCCAGGATTGGTTATTATCACTGTTGGAGCTAGTTAACGTGGCCTTTAATTGACGGTGCAAACATTCCACAAGGCCATTAGCACAGGAGTGATATGCAGTCATTGAGATATGCTTGGCTCCGAGAAGATTCACAAATTCTTTGAAAAGTGTTGCTTGAAATTGAGGACCGCAGTCTGTCGTTATGACTGATGGGCATCCAAAGACCAAAATCCAGTCTTTCACTATTGCCATAGCAACAGATTCTGCAGATATAGACTGAAGTGGAATTGTGATAGGCCATCAAATAAATCTATGACAGTAAGGATGTACTGATATCCATGTACTTTTGGTAACGGACCCACTAAATCGGCATGGAGATGACAAAAACAACTGTCAGGTACAGTGAAATTCCCAGGTTGGGATTTGGTATGTATTTGGTATGTATTTGGTATGTATTTGGTATGATGATGTACTTTTGTACATTGGCAAAGGAGGCAACACTGAGTCCAATTCTTGATATTGACATTCATGTTTGGCCAGTCAAAACATTCAGAAATTAGTTTTGCCGTTATTTTCCATCCCGGGTGTGAGAAAGAGTGGAAATGGTCGAAAATTCATCTTCTCATGCTAACGGGTACTAAGGGTCTGCGATGAGAAGTGCTGACGTCACAAGCGATTAACTTGGTACTGAAGGTCATGGGACGTTGCTCAATCGTTAACAACAAATTTTTCAATGAGTTAAACAGAGTAGTGTCACATTGTTGCTCGTTGGCTAGAAAATCGAGGTCGAGCTGTTCCTTAGTGGCATTAAGTAAGAACGCTCTTGATAGTGTGTTAGCAACGGTGTTATCATTGCCCTTGACATGACATATATCAATAGTAAAATGTGAAATAAAGTCTAATTGCCTGTAATCACGTGTATTATACCTGTCTGATTTGGTCTGAAGGGCATAAACTAGAGGTTCATGATCAGTGAATACAGTGAAATCTCGACCTTCTAATATATGCCGGAAATGTTTAATCGAAAGGTAAATTGCAATAACTCATGTGAAAAGGTGCTGTACTTTTTTTTGAGTTGGATTGAGTTTAACTGAGAAAAAGGATATAAGTGTGGTTTCTTTTTCCATGTGTTGGTGTAGAACAGCTCCAACTGCTTCTGATGAGACATCAGTGGTGAGCGAAAGATGTGTTGTATTGTCGTCACATAGATAATTTAGTTTAGCAAAATTTGCTAGCGCATTTCTTGAATTGTTAAAAGTAGCAAGTGCTTCATCTGACAGAGTTATCTTTGCGTTTCTTATTCCCTGGCCACGAAGTAAGTTGGTAAGAGGTGCCAGAATGTGGGAATAGTTAGGAATGAACTAGTGATAATAATTTATTAAGCTGAGATAACGTTGAAGTTGCTGGAGCGTCGTTGGTTGAGGAAACTCTTGTATAGCTGTAACTTTCTCCATGACCGGTGTGATGCCAGAACTGTCAATTTCATATCCGAGGAAATTCAGTTTAGGAACAGCAAACACACATTTGTCCAGGTTGATTTTTAAGCTGAAATGTCCAAACACTGAAAAACTTGCGTGACATGACGCACGTGGTCATCCATGTTAGCTCTTGCTACTAGGAGGTCGTCACTGTAAGCGAACAAGTGTGATAAACCACGAAGTGCTTCATCAATTAGGCGTTGGAAGGCCAAAAGGTATCCGAAGGAATTCGTATAGACCGAAAGGAGTTGTAATTGCAGTTTTGTGGATGTCTTCTCCAGCCACTGAGATCTGATAGAAAGCTTTTTGTAGATCTACCTTCGTGAAAATCTTCACTCTCTGCAGAGAAATTGTGAAATCTGTTAAATTGGGCACAGGATATTTGTCAGGAATTGTCTGTGCATTGAGGCATCTATAATCACCACAGGGCCTCCACACACCCTCCTGCACCTTGGGGACCATGGGGAGTGGAGAAGTGAAAGGGCTTGATGAAGGGCGAATTATGCCCAGATCCAACACGTGCTAAATTATATTTTTCTGGTCTGAGTCTACATGGTTTCAAAAAAACTGGCGGGCCAGATGTATAAATTTTATGAACGGTGTGGTGTTTTACCATCTCAGTGTACGTAAAAGGTCAGGTGAGTGAAGGAAACTTATCCAGTACGTTTTGGAGTGGATTATTTTCTGGCAGAGCAACACATAATTTAGTTGATGTGAGAATGGAGGTTATCCCTAAATGTGTAAGTTTAGTTGTCTGGTCCATAAGTGTGTGATTCGACATGTCGACAGCTATCTTGTAATGTGCTAGAAAATGTGCGCCGTGTATGGGAAATTTCACTTCCGCTACAGTGAAAAACCACTGGAACGTTCTCTTTAATCCAATGTTTAGAGTCATAGACACCTGGCTGAAAGTTTTGATTTGGGAACCATTCGCCACACGTAAAGTGTATGAAGATTTCTCAGTCTTAAACCCTGGTCTGGTCAGAATTACACTGACTTGGGCGCCTGTGTCAACCAAAAATAATTTGTCAGAATTACTGTCTCGGATGTAAAAAAGACGGTTGATTCTACCTCACCCAACAGCAGACGCCGTCTTCATGTGCTGTTGGGACTGGCGTTTCCCGCCTGTTGGTTAGGTATAGATGCTAGCTGGGGTTTAAAATTACATGACTTGGTACAATGCCTAGCTGTCTGACCGAATTTACAGTGATACCAACAAATAGTAGTCGTCCACCCATATGAGTTAAATCTGGAACGTCGGCGTGACTTTGTATGAGATATAAGCTGGGGTCGTACATTCTCTACTCAGACGATCCAACTGAATCGACAACTTGTTGAGTTGTTGTTGGAATTTGTTTATCAAGTTGTTGACGGGAGTGTTGTGTGGTTCGGGGACATGCATACTATCAAGGGCCTTAGCTTCATTTATTTTATTGGTTATTTCAGCCGTTTTGTTGAACAGGTCGTTGATTTGGCGTTCTTCAGACTTTCTTGTTCTATATATAATAGCCTCCTTTAACATGTTAAAGTGCTTGTCTCTCGGGACGTTGTCCAGCAAGTCCGATACATCAGATGCAACATCTGGCGGCAGCTTTTCAACAATGTAGGTAAAGCATGACGTTTAGGATTGGATTCTTTTCACCTGGAAAATGGCATTTAATTGTGCAAGCCAGATATGTTAATTGTATTGAAAACTAGCAGGTTGAGCAATACTGTCACTTCATTTCCATCCTGATCGGCCATCTTGGGTAGTTTTTGAAACGCACGTGGCAGAGAAAAAATTCTTCGCACCAAGTTGATTTGTTGTATATTATTTTCTTAGATGCTGTTGGCACAAAATTGGGTTTTTTCTTTGTTTTTTATCTTGAATCACGTCGACGGTCACCAATTGTTATGGTGTGTTCTTTAACGCATATATCTTTTGTATTATTAATGATTTCAGAAAACAATGAAACTCCAAATGTGAATCAACAAGTATATATTGAAATAACATACAAGAACAAAATATACAATAATTTCTATTCAATGTATAGATTAAGGGAAAAGAAGTTGTTCCCCTTTTACTGTATTTTGATTTGTAATTGATTGTTCGAAAGAAAGTTCTCTTGAAAGAGAAATGTTCAAGAATCAATGTTAGAACAAGTCTGCTGTTAGAATAGATAACACAAGAATACAATTGATCAGAAAGTGTGTTGTGTTAGAGAAATCAACAGAGTCCTAGTTGAATGAACTTGGCTGAGTCACAGAGAGATATGTTGTGAGTAAAGTCATAGGTTTGTGTTGACAGGCGAAATTTGCTGGACTCTACTGGCGGCTTATGACAAAGTTGCCTCTTTTAAAGCTACAGATAGGCTCCCAGCGAAACCGCAGAAAAAGTTGATTTTGCACTCTTGATTGGTTAAAATTTGACCAATTGCTAAATTTGTACTAAGAAAACAAGTAAGTAAGCTCAAAACTGAAAAATTTAAAGCAATGACTGCGATAGCTAAATTGTCCTATAGAAAGGCAGTATTGATAAATTAGCCAATCGCAGATGAATAAAATGTGGGCATGGAAAAAACATAGCAGTTGCTACACTTTCAAATTTTTCAGGTAAAAATTGACCAGTCAGTAAAAATCTGACCTAGGGACTTGGGTGCATGTTCACTTTATTATAGCCGACCAACTGTTCTATTTTTAGTCATAATGAAAGGGGTCATGAATTATGATGAGATTTAACAGCAAAAATTATGAACCCCATGATCTTGCGCTGTACTTAGTTAAATTTAATAATTAAGAGATTATAAGCTTCATAATTACAGAATATTTATATGTTTAATATTTTTGGATAACACTGAATAGGAATAACTTAAAGAATTAAAAATTAAACAGAAAAAAGTAATATCTTTATTGAGGAAGCATTGGGTGAGCATTTTCATTTAGAAGAGTAAAAAGAGAGAGCAGCCAAGCAAAAGCATTTATAATGGATTGGCTATTTGAATATTTAATTACAAAGAGATTTTTGCTTTTGTTTTTCAGAATACACACTTTCAGTAGTGGATTCTCCTGGAATAAACATGCTTGGAATTGTTGTTGTTTCCATCTTCTTTGGAGTTGTTATTTCTCGTCTTCAAAAGAAAGCAAAACCGATGTTAGATTTTTTCAGTTCACTTTATGAAGTTTCTATGATGCTTGTCAATCTAGTCATATGGTCAGTACTTTTTAAACCTATTTGTCAAGTTCAAATTATCTAGAACTTTTAGAACTATATGCATACACACTGAAGCACACATACAGAAAAACAAAGTAAGTTTTTTAAAAAAATGAAAACTCAGAAATTAATGCATTTTCTATATATTTTCACCTTAAATTATTTTTTGCTGTAATTAAAACTGTTCTTTAAGCCAATATTATGGTCTGACTTATTACGACTGACTAATTCAGTGCATGTATTGTTTTGTAAATAAGCCTTTTTGTGCTTGTATACTCTTATATATTGATAATAATTTAAAAATAAGGGCCTATAAGAATCCACCTGTAAAAAAGATACACCATATCAACTAAATAAAATTTGGAATAATTATTGGCTTCTATTTAAGACTACTTAAAATTTATAGCCATTAATATATGCATGAAGAGAAATACACTGAAAATACTTTCAAACTCCTCTAATATCCATCTTATTTCTCATATAATGCTTGTCATAAAGCTCAAAAGTAAATGATATAGTCTTGTTGAAACTGCCAACTAAATCAATAATGACTACATTTTTTTTAATTGTGATATAAAATTTGTTGCAACTACTCCAGAAGCAGTAATGTACAGTAGAAGAAAGAAATACACACAGGTGAAACATCTAGAAATTTATATAAAGAACACAAAATTCATTTTTTCATGCAATTACCTGCTTATGTTATTAATGTCTACATTGGAAGACACTACAAACCTTTCATAATTTAGTAATCAAAGGAGGAAAAGTGGAAACTTAAAAATAACTTCACATTTCATCAATGTCAAAGAGAGAAAAAGATTATCATTTTGACTTGTAGAATTTTCAATGTAAGAAAAAATTCAAAATGTACATCCATGAAACAAAGGATTAAATAACCACTTAAAAAGAGTTTTGTACTTCTTTCTATCCATCTTGTATTATTTTCAGGATTAGAGTCAGTGTCTATTTTACAAATATATCTTACAGACTAAGCAATGAAATGAAAGCCAATAGTATTGAAAAGAAACTCATTATCATCTACTCATCATCTAGAGAAAAACATTTATTTCAAAGCAGCATCAATGTGATATTATTGGAAACAATTTGAGAATTGTGAACCATCAGTTAAAGTAGAAACTTTTGATGGGAATGTTATGAAAAGTTTGCCATTTCACTTTGTAATTTTTGTTGGATTGAACTCTATTTAATTGTATGTTTTTTATCTTGCCTGTTAACAGTTGTTAAATATTATAAAATACATTATCTTTCTACCACACAGGTATTCTCCAGTTGGTATATTCTTTTTGATAGCCACTCAGGTAATCAAGATGAAGGATCCAGAATTAGTCATTCAAAGACTAGGACTTTACTGCCTGACTGTTATTGTTGGTTTGATAGGCCATGGATTCATTGTACTTCCACTTTTGTATTTTGCTATTGTAAGGAAGAATCCGTTTGTATATATGTACAATATGACTAAAGCGGTAATCACAGCATTAGCCACAAGTTCCAGGTGAGTTCACTCAGCCTTTTTCATTGCTTCTGATCAGCATTTTCAGTTTTACTTGAAAAGTTTTTCTTTCTTTAAAGTATTCCTTTCCCAAATCTTTTATCAGATAAACAGTTGGAATTTATAAAATCTTTCTCTCAAAACAATTTTTCAGGAAAATAGGTTTCTCAAGTAAAGTAACTGTTATCACTCTTCAGTGTTGATGGAGATTTCTTTGTAACTTTATTTGAACTAGTGTGGAATGTCAACATCTTGATTATATCATTATTTTCTCTTGAGTTACATGTGATATCCATTTTAGCTGTTGCTGCTATTGAAAATCCATAAGTAATGTGATTTCTGTTATCTAGTACAATTCTTTGTTTGTGATTCTGTAATGCCAGTCCATAATGTTGAAAGAAGAATCCACAAACTTCACTCACTCAAAGCCATTTTTAACCATTGATCTTAGAAAGCAGTTATTATAAAACTTACAGTTTCAATATTTCTGAACAGGTTTGGTGTCATGCATGGCCTCCATATGGAAGTCTTGATCTGATGAGGCTATTTAAAAACATGACTTGAGTTTTTAGGTTAATGGTTTTTTTTTTTTAGCAATTTGTGGTGTTGGGTGAAACTACCTCTAGTGCAGTTTATTCTATTTTCAATTTTCTTCAATCTCTTATACTAAATTTATTATAATTGATTCATATTCTGAAGTATTTGAAGGATTTAATATTTACTAATTCCACATCCTGAATTTTAATGATGGAATCAGGGAAGATACCATCACTGCTTTCATTCCAATTTTAGATCATAGTTTCTGTTTTGGAAAGGTTTATCTTGTGTGCTATTTCTTGGAACATTTGTAGCAAAAATGAGATGCAGACTTTTCTGATAATGGTACTGCCCACATTGACCAAAGAGACAATGTTTAGTCTGTTGACTCTGTAAAAAGAAAGCAAATGATTTGCTAGCCAACTGGTGATGTTTTGTTCTGCATAAAAGCAGTCACATTTTCTGAGAAGCAGAAGTGCTGAACTTATGACATAATTGATCTTTCTTATTCCAATTATGAACACCTATATTATTGGTTTCCATACCCTCCCCCATCGTCAGTACATTGGACTCAAGACGGAAAGCAGGATAAATGATTAGTTCCATCACTTCACATATATGCCTATAAACGTGTAGGGCATAGTCTAGGAAAATATTAAATAGACGAGGACTCATCCTTGTCGTACTCTTAATGAGGTTTGAAATATTCCTGCATTGGAGTCCTTGCCAAACATGCAAGATTTTGTAGACTGATAGTCTCTGAATTAGATCAATGCATTCAGTGTAGAAGGGGGTTTCTAATGTATGAAAAGAGGAAGTCTTTATTATATGCTGCTATGAGGTTGACATAGCAGGTATACAATTTCCTAGAGTTGTTTGATATTGCATCATTGCATCCCTAACCAGAATGAAAACCAAACTGGGTCATGAGGAGATGACTTTCATAAAATGATGAGTGCCTATTTAATATAATGTCCATTAATACTTTCATCATAATGGATCCAATTGAGATAGCTCTGTATGTGTGAGGGTCTTAAGGGCTCTACTGTTTTGTTTTCATCATGCATTAATGCATGATAAATTTCACTTTTTGGGGGATGCAGTTCTGATTCCAAACTTCTTTCATAAAATTGAGAAACTTGTTATTGAATTTGGGGAGAAAGTAAAGCTGTTTTCAAAAGTTCAGTTTCAATGTCAAGTGATGCTTTATTATTCTTTAGTTTTTTAATAGATTTCTTAATCTTCATCAGTAGGTTCTTAATCTTCATCAGTAGGTTCTTAATCTTCATCAGTAGGTTCATTATTGTTTATGCTTGAGTCTCGACTTTGTAATGATTATTGGTATAGGTTCTATTTCTGCGGACATCTTTGGTTTAGTGTGATCAGGATTGAAATATGATGTATGTAAAGTATTATCTTGGTGCTGCTTTTGAAATTGTCTTTGGGTAGTTGCCACCTCTTCCTGGTGAATGGACAATGGTTATGCCAGTGACATATCTAGGTTATGGCAAATAGGACAATGCCATAAATGCTATTTACAATGCTATTAAATACTGAACAAATAATTTGTAGTGTTATATTCATTAGATAGATGGCTTCTTGAAAGTAGTCAGATGAGTAGGAGAAATGAAAGATGGTGCTATGTGGACACTACATATATACCTATATTCATGTCATTTGTGAGGTTCTGAGAAAACAAGGACCCTGTCTTCAAGCCCTGGATCAAAAGAGTTAGCATGTGTTTCAGCAGGCCAGGAATGACTGGCCAAGAATTTTCATTATATCACCCCCAATATGTGGTCTCTATGTCTCCTTATTTGTCCCCCCTGGACTCCTACACTTGGGGTGTTGTCAAAAGAGAGATATCAACCAATGTTACCATAATGTCAAAAATTCTTATAGGCTGCCATTGGAAACATGATGGACAAAATGAATGCAAACCACATGACCTGATCTGAGCATGCAATTGCTTTCAATGTCACATCAAGATCGTCCTCTAGGCTGAGAGTGGTTTTATTGGATAATTCCTTTCTATTTTTCAAAATGTGCACAAATTCATTCAAAAATATACTTATTTTATTGCATGAAAGTTATTATTCAATAAAACATTTAATTTCTGATAGTAAGCAATGTAGAAATAGTAGTTTAAAAATAATAAATAAATAATAAATGAAATAATTTATTTTGTGACAAAACATTGCCATTTAATGTATGGGCAATAATTTTGCCAAAATAAAGACTATCATTGATCTACATTGGAAAATTTGTGCTATTCAATATGAATGACCATGAAATATTTGATTTATGCAGTATGAAAGAAAATTGGAAAATTGATTTTTGGTATGGATTGTTAGATTACATTGTATAAAATAATAATGAGTACATATGTTGGGTACTGAAAAGTTCTCAAACCGATCAAGAAGAAATTCAAAATGTTCTAATGTCTGAATGTTTGGTCAGAGTTTGCAAAATGGGCTGAGCTGAAAATTTTTTGGCACCTCTTATGAGTAATGATACGCAACATTGTGCAGTCTAAGTCTCTTTCTTTTGCTCACTATATAAAGTACTGGGTTGTTGCATGAATTTAGTAAAAAAAATTGGCAGAAATAATCTTGAGACTCTTCTTGATGTGTCTACTTATTAAATCCGCAGTTAGTATTGATGACTGCTTCAATATGAGGTATGAAACATTGGCATGCCCAAATCAGATGATCCTTATCTATTTTAGACATTGTGCTTGTTATGGCAGACTTCAGAGATTTTATAGTGTTATGGGAGCATTGAATGACTTCCCAGTCAATTAATCACTATACATAGTAGTCCAATTGATTCAGAGTTCTGTAGAGCGAGAGGGCCATATTTTTTGGTTGATGTGAAGATGAAGAATCATGGAGATAGTAACTCATCCATTCTTGTGTTATCTTGGTCTCATGAGATGGCACCGAGTTTTGTTAATAGGAGTACGGTCTTCTTTTGCTCACACTCTCTATCCAAGGCCTCACAATCTACTTCAACACCTTATAGTCAACAGTATTGAACTTTAAGCCTCAAGGAAAGAGGTAAAAAGGCATGAAATCTCTCTTGTTACTCCCAGCTCATACAAACACCATTGCCAGAATCTTTGTGTGCGATTGTTGGAACATTCTTAGAATCTTTGCATAACCATCTACCATTCCTTTGCCTGGCCTTTTGGTCTTGATCAAAGTTTTCTCATCAAAGAAAAACCATTCCAGGCTCATAATGTTTTAACTTGCTGAATGAGCACTTTGCACAGATCAAGCAGTTAACTTTGTCTTTGCAAACTTGAATTGGCCTATCTGCATAACATATGACTTGTATTGAAGGTCATCATGCACAATTCTTCTGATAGTGCAGTGAAACCTTGAGTTTCTTAGTAATGGCATTAGTTGACTTTTTGTATTTTTTATCAATTTTCTGCACCATTTGCACAAATTTGGGTTTTCTGATGATATTAGGACCCTTAACAGTTATTTTACATTTATCAGCAGCTTCCAGCTCTTTGCAAACTTTGACAACAAATGACAGTGCAACTTTCAGGAAGCAAGCAATTGCTAAGTGACTATGCCCTGCCCTTAAAACAACAATTATTGTGTGCCTGTTCATTTGCTTAGTTAGCTTGATGTTTGTCATCATTTACCTGAAAAGAAATGATAATCAAAACAAGTTAGAAAAAGGTTAGAGCTATTAAAAGGTGTCCTCAAAGAAATGAGTAAACTTGTAAAATGATCCACATTTGAAAAATTAGTGAAATTTTTTCACTTAAAGTAATATTTTCATGATTAATGATTCAGAAAGAATTTGCAAAAGAAAAAATATTAAAATTTGACAACAGATTTCTTGTAGTATTCTATATTTTACAAAATGAAAAGAAAGTAACCATTGACCTATGACACAGAAGTGACAAATAACAAAAAAAGTAGGAATATATCTTACTACATTACTCTTACAAGTTATTCTGATATTATCTCACTCTACTGTTGGTATTGCCATTCAAAAATGTCCTTCATTTCAAATTCCTTTTAAAGTTTGAAGACAGTAACTAATTATATCTGGTAAGTAGTGTCGATGGTCTCTGTGCTCAAACTCTAAATTCTTCAAAATATACATTGTCCACAATGAGCTGATGCATTGTCCTGCAAAAAAGAAGACTCCTTTCTATAGCTTTTGCTGTTTTTCTTTCAAGATCACTTTAATCAAAGTTAGAATAGCTTTCTGTACTTAACTGTTTTCTTCTTCTGAAGATAATCATCAAAATACTTTCTTTACTCGTCTCCCACCATTCTATGGGCATGAGGCCTGGTCAATTTTAAGTCTCGAATTTCTTTGGCTATGAAAAATCTAAGTGCATGGACTTTTGTTTCATTTTTTTATCATAGTGTAATCATGTTTCATCAACATTGACTGTATTGCTGAATGGGCTTGTGTTGTTGAACAAATCATGATCAGGCCATTCAAAGTCAATGAAGGAGTGAAATAGAAGAGTGAAATGACTTTGACAAAACTTTCATTAATGGTACAAGTTCCAGTCTCACAATTTTCAAAGTTTGTATTTATGCATCACAATATTCCTTCTCATATATTTGTTATATTCCTCTACATATTAAATTCTCTTTCTGATTCCCTCTACATGTTAACCAGATGTGAGTACTAAGAAAGCAAAACCCAAAATAAAAAAGTTGTTTTCTGCACAGGGTCTCTGATCAGGAGCCAGTAGATTTGCTTCTAAGAAAGCCCCACACAAGCAACTGACAAAGACTGCAGCATATAGATCAGCTGTTAACACCTGGCTGCTCTCAATGTCACCATCATGATTTCAGTCAACCAACCCAACACACATATCCACTTGAGAGCTACTCTCCTCCAAACACCCACACCATGCTCACATACAGACATTCCACTCACATCCTCTGTATCTGCAAAATCAGATTTGCAACTTCACTAATAAACCCTAAAAAATTTGTGACATCACTATTTTGATCTTGGTCAACTGACTCAACAAATCTGTCAACTCTAGGCTTTATCAAGACTTACCTTCTCTCAAAATCACCTTCTTTACACATCCATTGTTATGGCTACTAAAGAACAATATATCAACAATTTTGTTATCTTATCACACTGCTTTGGAGGCTGGTTATTGCCATTCTTGTTTTTTCTCCTACCCAACCAGAATCCAAAAATAACAGACATTTCCATTCAATCGGTCTTCACTAACCCACTCCAGCCCTATCTCATACCATGATCTCTGTCAACCAACCTGCCAAATGCATCAACTCCAGGCCTACTCTACCCACATTCAAAATTGCCATACCTCGTTCACACAGAGACATTCCACTTGCATCTGCTGTATTGGCAAATAGAAAAGCATTTTGTATTCACAATTTTTGTCTTTTTAGTTTCACCTCAACAATGGTACTGCAGTTTTGTTTGTTTTCACATGCTACCATACACTTTTATAACATATCTGAGGTTGCCTGTACTATAAAAGGTTTACAGGAGACATAATAATGAAATAGTTACCATCAAGTCATGAAGCTTATTGAAAATTAGCATCAATTGTAAAAAGAAAATTATATAAAAGTGGCAAGTAATATGACAACAGAACAGACCTCTGGAAAGCAATTCAAAACCACCATGTTGAAAATTGAGCCTGTTGAAGTCGAAAATTTAACTAAAATTTTTTTGCTTTTTAATTGGTATCACCCCAAGCAAAGCAGTACAGTTATTAACATGCAAGGAGTTACAGAGTGTGGAAAAAATCTAGGAACAGAAACATTAGTAATGAGTAGAAAGATAAAATAACATTCAGGAGAACAGTAGATAGGGTTTGACATTGCACTTAAATTTTTGCAGATTAAAGTTGGTTGGAAAGCATGGAGCTAGAAGGGTGTGCCACAAGTGAGAAGTACGAGAAAAGAAATTTTTAGCATAGAAGATACGGCTACATCTAGCTAGCTCAACTGCATATCGATGAGATCTTGCTGCTAGTCTAGTATTATGCTAAAATTCATACAGTCTAGGTACCATAGTGAAGAGCTCAACTGAACAATTACCATGGAAGTATTTATAAAAATGTGGAGAAGCAACCTTAGAGCAGTGCGCAAGTGACTGAAGCTGAGCCACCAGATCAGGACCAATAATATTGCTGATTCATCTTTGGATCTTATCAAGGAGCTCTCGGTAAATAGCAGGGGTAGCAGACCATATATGGTAGCAATATTCTAAGCATGGATGAATGGTAGACACAGATATGGAAGATATATTCTGGAGAGAAAAATTGTCTCACCCGACACAGTGAACCAACTTTCTTAGCAGCTGACCTAGCAATGGATTCAATATAGTTTTCCCACTTCATGTTAGCTGAGAACGTTAGCCTGAGATGGAGCAGTGAGTCACTTTCCTGATGATGGAAGGCAGAGAGGAGTCTCTTAAATGATTAATGGAGAGAAGTTTAGTTTTTGAAGCGTTAAAACTGACAAGCCAACTTTTACCCCAGTTAATGATGGTCTTGAGGTAATTTTGTACATCAGCTACCATTTTGACCTTGTCAAACTGATCAGACTTACTATTGCAGTAGGAGTAAAGAGTTCAGGCTCTGAAGTCTTTGGTAGCACTTAGTTTCAGGCAACAGATTTTAGAATAAATCTAATCATTTCAATAAAACAGGTTGAAACTTCAAAAAAACTCAACTCAATGTTTGTTTTGATATCTAAACTGATCTTGTAAAATTACAAAATATTTTCAAAGCAAATTTGACATATTGAAGTTTACGTGATTTGCATTATACCTTTAGGCAGGTTGCAAAGTTGTAACCTGAAACAGAACTAGATCTATCAATCAGATATTTTTCAAGCAGAGTTTTGAATTAAAAATTCAATCTATACTAAGGATTATACTTTTATGTTGACATTATTTGATGTTGTTTCTCATTTTGTACAGCTCAGCAACACTTCCAGTGACAATTGAATGTCTTGAAGTGAGGAATAAAGTTGACCCAAGAATAACTAAATTTGTGGTTCCAATTGGAGCAACAGTTAACATGGATGGTACTGCCTTGTATGAAGCTGTAGCATCAATCTTCATTGCTCAGGTCAATGGTATGCACATGGATATTGGTAAAGTCATCACTGTTAGGTAAGAAACTTCCTGCTCCGTCCTTGATAGTTTAAGATTCTTTTGAACAAATTCACTAAAATGTCTTGTAAACATACAACAGGTCTTTCTTGTGGCTTTTCACTGACTGGACAAATGATCCCAACATTGTGACTTGATTCTCATTTAAATCAGTGTGCACAAAAACTTGGAAAATGCCATTGTATATTTGTACATAAAACAGTGTTAATTAACACCATGTTGAGAAATGAAGACATAAATCCTATTTACAATATATTTGGTTGTTTATTTAGGGATACCACAATTTTGCCCATCTCTATGTTATGATCTGTAGCTAGCAACTCATCCACAACAAGCATCAAAACTTTCTTTCAACAGACAGACAATACCTTCTAGTAATAAAAACTAAATTCTAAACATATTTTGGCTCAGTGCTTGCCAATAGTCATGATCTAACAGTGCTGTGTTTGACTTGCTTCTGCAGCATTTGAATGGCTTTCCAAATGTGCCTTCCTGATCTCATCAGTAAGATAAAGGTCACTATTTACAAGGTATTTCAATGCTGTTATATGGCTACAAACCCTGCATCCCATACTATCACCATTTACAGAGTCTTGTATAATTCCTTGTATTCTGCCTACAATGAACCCTCACGTTTCATTTGTGGGATAACGTATCACCTGTCAGAATATTTTGTGTTGGTTATCTGGTGATGTGCTTTTTATAGTGAATTGGAGTCAGGTGAAAGAGCTGTTGGTGGCCAATAAAAACAATGAAAGGGCTACATCAAAGCCATCTCAGGGACCTTTAATATCTTCCTTTGCTAATTAGAAAAGTTGACTGGTGATGAGGCCAGTTGTCAATGTGTCTGCATAGAAGCTTTTCAAACCATAGAGGCAAATTTTGTCCAGCAGGCACAGAGGAATGTGCTGTCAAACAATCCTTTCTCTACTGTTTATCCAAGATATTTTCAGATACCCTGCTTGTTGAAAAAAGTATGCTGTTCTTGATTTGGTCTAATCAGCTGCAAAAAAAATGGTAAATTTGCTTTTTAACGCTCGCATGCTAAATATCTCTTAAAATTTTCCCAAATCATCATAATTCCATGAAAATGTACATGCTGAACTCAAATTAACAATTAAATTATGAAGAAACCTAACATCTTGGAGTTACTGACAAGAAAAAATTGGACTTCTTGTTGGTCATTCGTCTCATTATTGCCATAATTATCAGTGTCGATAACTCCAAAATGGTTGATTTCTTCATAATTTAATTGTTAATTCGAGTTCAGCATGTACATTTACATGAAATTATGATGATTTGGGAAAATTTTAAGAGATATTTAGCACACAGGCATTTGGGTGTTAAAAAGCAAATTTACCAAAGAACCTAATACCATGAAGGGAACAGTCGGCTTCATCTAAAAAGACTGGTCTACAATAATGAAAATGACTTTAATATAAGAAGAATTTTATTTTGTTTATGTTTCATGTGTATTTTTTCTTCACTATTACAGTATCACTTCCACTGCTGCAGCAGTAGGGGCTGCTGGGATACCTCAAGCGGGTCTTGTAACAATGTTGATTGTGCTGACAGCAGTTGGATTACCAACGAGTGATATTGCTTTGATTTTAGCAGTTGATTGGTTTTTGTAAGTAATACAGTTTTACAACAGAATCTACAAGTATAAATTTAAACAAATTCTTGCTAAATATTACCTTAATTATATTTGCAAGAATCAGTTTAATCAAATCACATATTTTGGAATTGTTAATTTTGTGTCAGGAATCTTCAGATTAATATGAAAAGATTTTAAAATGATATTCTTTAATTAAAAATATAAAATTTTTAATGTTTATGAGGAAACATCAGGTCATAAATATAGCATATATTAAAAGTGTGTGTGTGTGTGTATATATATATATATATATATATATATATATATATATATATAAAATGTGTATGTGTCTGTGATAATCATCAGGGGATATCACTACTTTCAATTACAGGCAAAATCCTAGCTAGACTGATTCTAAACAGAATCATTATACACCTTGTTGATAACGTCTATCCTGAATTGCAGTGTGGTTTTCGGTTGGGTTGTGGCACCATTGACATGATATTTTCTCTTTGTCAAGTTGCAGAGAATGTTTGCAAGAAAAACCAGGAGTTGCACATGGTGTTTGTGGACTTGACGAAGGCCTTTGACACTGTGAATCGAGAGGCTCTTTGTCAAGTCTTGAGGAAAACATGCTAAAGGTCATCATCTCTATTCATGAAGGAATGAAAGCTAATATCATGTCTGATGGCATGATATCAGAATCCTTTGATGTCACAAATGGCACCAAGCAAGGTTGTGTCATGGCCCCTGTCCTTTTTGCCTTTTTCTTCCCGGTGATGCTGAAATATGCACTTGCAGACACAGTGAGTGGCGTCAAGTTTCTGTTTCAAACAACTGGTGATCTCTTCAATCATCAGCACTTCAAAGCTAAGACCCACCTTCGTATGCAAATTATTTGTGATTTGTTGTGCTGATGATGATGATGCGGCTCTTGTAGCAACATCCTTTGAGGAGGCCCAACATTTAATCAATCATTACTCTGCTGCATGTAAAGCCTTTGGTCTTACACTTAGCATAAAGAAAACTGAAGTAGTGCACCAACCTTGTCCTACTCTGAAGCAATTCTGTGGTGAGAAACAAAAACCACCAGTCTACAAATTTCCAGAGAGACCATTGAAAATAGAAGACAAAGCCCTGAACTATGTAAAGTCTTTCACCTGTCTTGGTAGCAAAGTCAATTACAGTAGAATCATGCATTGGATTGCTAAGGCTACCAGTGTTTCCAGCAAAATACAAAGACAAGCTGAAAAGCAACTTGTCAGCTGTCAATATACCACATAACACCCTTGAGTGCTTGGCCTTGGAGTGGGTAGAATGGAGATCAACATGTTTTTGTGGACTCAGCAGTTTTCAATCTGCTTGTCTGAATTGTCTTCAAGAAGCGAGAGCAAGATCTAAAAGGTCAGACAATATAATAGTGATCTCATCCCACAATCCTCACTCTTGCTCCATATGCGGCCTCCTTTGTAAATCACTAGCGGGTCTTAAGTGCTACTTGAGATTATCGCACAAAATTTCATAACTGAATCAATTAAGCTGTCAGATCCTCATACGTCGAAACCGACGGGAGAGTTCATTATTATTATTATTATTATTATTATATGCAATTTTTTATATATATCATTTATATATTATATATGTGTGGTACTTATTGGAAAACGCTCAATATCAGAGATAGAGCTAACATATTTAGTTAGATTGATGTGAGTTTGTGACCCTGGGTTTCATGCTATTTGCAATTGTCAGACAAACTGATTAATTTTTAAATTTTGGATTTATATATGGTTGCATATATCAGTTCATGGAAGTGGAAGGAAAAATTGTCGTCGGAATGCCACTCATACATACACAAACATACATACATGCACGTACACTCATTAACGTATGCAGACACAAACACACGTACGCTCACTCACTGGAGCTCACATAAACATAAACATGTGAACAGTGTGGGACTGGGCATATATGTGCATTCATGTGTCATTGCGTACATACGTATACATTTGGTCGCTGTATTCAATATTGGATTGTGTAGCAAATATTTTTTGTCTATTGCACTGTCAACGTGCAGACTGTTCTTCTATTTTGTTCACTGAATAATGTTTTCTCACACACATGTATGTACATATGATGGCGTCTGTTTAAGACTATGGTAGCTAAAAATTACTGTTTTAAATTTTTTAAAGCCAGTTATTTCCCTGATTTTGGCGATTGCGCATATGTAAATGGTAGAAACTTCAATTTGTAATACTTATTAGTATTTATGCAGTGGTATTAATTTTGCTGGGGAGGGAGAAGTAGGTATAACTGTGGACTGATATGGTAATGATAATGGTAACTGTGGTGCCATAGTAATTGTGGATTAATGCGGCAATGGTAATGTGATGTGGAGTTAGCAGGCAATGATAATAACAATTGTAGCAGCAAATAGTTATTGTAAAGTGGTAGAAGTGATTGTAGTAATGGTGGTGGAATGATAATAACAATAATTATAATTATTATGATGGTAGTTTGAGTTAGAAAATAATTGATGGTGTTATGGTGTCTGGTTTCTCTGGTTTTCATGTTCATAGGGTCAATGGTGGTTCATGTAGTAGTGTCGTTTTTTTTTATCTGTTTGGCATAAATTGTGATAATAGGTATTTGTTTTCATGTCTGCATTTAGAAATTATTTCTGATCTTATGTTTAGTAAATTCTTTTGTCAGGTATCAGAAATTATTGCTACCTTTTCATGTAGGCAAAGTAGGCATTTCTTTGTAATATTGTTGTAGGCAGGTGCATTTTTCAATATTTTCCAGCTTATTCTTGGTGTAATATTTCTGTCTTTTAGATGCCATATGTATGTGAATGTTTGAATATTTTCTGTCGGAGAATGAAAGGTCATGATTGTTTTTTCTTTTTTTGAATGGTCCCGCAGTGGCACCGATGTAGTACATTGTGCTGTTGTTTGCACTTACCTTGGCTTTATATATTATATTCATTTGTTGGCAATTTCCTTGTAGTGGACATGTTGTTTGAAGTTCCTTGGTTATATATATATATATATATATATATATATATATATATATATATATATATAGCTTGTAATTAGCTAAATTAGCTCTGAGGCAGTCGATTTCAAAGACTAATAGCCTTTGTATGTCGTCTTTTCTCCGTGTCCCAGTTTATGCAGATGATCAGAGCAGAGTAGAGCCTTGTCTTGGTGTAGTATGTAATATTTTTCTGTCCTTGATCTTTTTCTTTAGTCTTTCTTTGCATCATCTGTTTTTGGGGCAACTGATCCTAGAAAGTTTTCAATATTTTCAACAGCTTTGCCATCTATTCACCAAAATAATACCAAATTATTGCCATTAAATATTCCAAGTTAAAAAAAACTATCAAAATTTAATAAGCTCAAAGTGTATAGAGTATATTTAGTATTTAATATAATTAGTATTTAATATTTTGCAGTCATATATAATGTTCAGTCTCTGTGATTAGTATTCACCACTGTTCCTAAAATTTGAAGTCAATTTGTTTGTGTTGTCATGGCATATTGAAAAAAAATATCCAAGTGCTTAATGTTGTGACAAGCAGCCAAGTAAATTTGAAATTAAAAAAAAAAGTATTTCAGAGATTAAGAGGTTAGTTGACATGCTTATCTTAAAATCTGTTTATCTAGAAAATGGAAAAATTCAATCTTTGACCAAGAGGACCAAGAAAAAAAAAATCACATATTGGAAATTGTTGTGCTACTTACGGAAGACATTTCTAAAATCTTTTAACATGAATAAAATAGCATTTTCATTTGAGAACATGAACATTTAATGCTTATAAAACCAGTTTATTATTAAATAAAGTATCTTTGTAAGATACTTAAAAGTAAATCACAAGCTAATTTGAACATATTAACAAATTCAAATAAAATATTAAAATTCTCAGCATGGCTGATGCTAACCTCCAGGATAGACTCACTGCACCTTTTTTTGGTCTCACATTTTTCACTGACCTGAAGTGGAATGATTCTATTGAATCAATTGCTAATTCCACTGCTAGAAAAGTAGGCTTACTAATATGTGCTAGACAATTTTTCTTGCCAGAATCTATTTAACCACTGCAAAATGGGAGAGTTGTTGCCCAGAGGTGAGCAGATTATACTTCTTTTAACCCCGATTGTGATTCTGGAAGAAAAAGTGCCACATAAATGAATGTGGTGCATAAGAACAGTGACAACCTTTAATCTATGTATACTAGTAAATATCTTACATAAAAAGGTTTAAATATTGAGAAGTAAACTATTATTCTAATCATCATGCTTGTGTTGATCTTTCTATAATCTGAATATTACTGACATTTTACAAGATACAATGCTAATTTTTAATCAGTTATATTTTTCCAGTTTATTTCAACCATTCAGCTAATGATTCATTGCTAAACAATAGAGTTATGCTGATATTTCTTTTTAATTAAATTAAGTAATTTTTTGAGTTGTACATGATATTTAATCAAAAGGTTCTGGCAAGAAAAATTAACACACTTGTGTGAAATGGGAATAATTTATGGAGTATTATCTTTTGCATATCAGGTAAAAATAATCTTGTATTAGGTTGGCTGCAGCAACAAAGTTACTCTATTCAAGTCTTAATAATAATTATTGAGATTCTAGGACAACTTGATCACAATATAAACTATATTTTCTCTTTCAAAAGAATATGAAAGATTAATTTTTGCTAGAAATTGCAACTAAACAAAATGTACATCTTAATGCATTTAAAGCATAAATGCTTAAGTATTTAAGAATTTGTTATCCTCCAAAAAACTTCAAAATACCTGAAATTGTGTCAATTATAACTTTTAAAACATTATATTGACAGTGATGCACAAAACTTTCTGTAAAGTACAATCCATTTTATTTAAATTAATTTACTTTTCAAATGTTGACATTTGCTTTTTATGTATAAATGATAGAAAATGATCTTAGGTGTCAAATAAATACTTATAATAATTTTATTCATTACAATAGTATTATAAATACCACTTTTTGAAATTC